AATAATGCTTGGGACACTGACGTCACTTTAAGGGTTATACACTGTAGTAGCTTATCGTCCTCTCTGGGAATGAACTTATTAAAATGGCACTGAACTAAATTTAAGACTCCTTTTTGGGGGTATTGCAGGGGGGAAAGGGGGAAAATGTCATTTTTGTCAGATTTATTTGATCCTGAATAAATCAGAATATCGTTATGAAATGTTTTAATGCACGTGGAAGTGCATATGACACATAATGTCGTTAAGGGTTCTAAAACATTTCATCCAGAGCATTGCAAAAATAGGTACTATGTTATTAGAAATGAGTATATGATCAGTTATAGAAATGAGTATATATATGATCAGTTAACAAAAGTTAACTCCTCTCACTTTTCCATCTCGTTGTGTGCTGCATTTGAGATTGCTTAATTCTTATAAGAAAAAGTTTTTGATGTTACACAATGGTCTATCGGCGCATAGCCGTCTGGTCGAATAGTGAAAATTGTACCACCACTATCAAAGTGCGGAGCGTATTTGAGCGGCAATGGGCCAAGAATTATCAGACTCACAGCCCGAGCAGGCTAACAAATAAGCCACTCCCATCTCAATAACAAGTTTACATAGCTAAAAAAACAAATGCAGTTACAACATTACAAAATCTGAAAATACCGATAAAATACTTGAAATCGCTGTAAGAGATAGTAATTATGTGGTCAAAATTTTGACCAAACTCCCATAATACGCAACTGAATAAAAATATTCAGTTTAAGGTATTTGGACTAAACATTAACCATGTGATTATAATTTGTCAATTATTATATTGTTATGGTTTGATCCCAGAGAACGTAAAATTTCTTTTCAACAAATATTTCAAATTATTTTTAATAAAAACATATAATTTTACTTTTGAGAAAATACTCAGATTAACGTATTAGGATTAAAAATGTGATTATTTGTTTCTCAATTATTATATTGTTATGGTTTGATCCCAGAGAACGTAAAATTTCTTTCAACAAATATTTTAAATTATTTTTAATAAAAAACATATAATTTTACTTTTGAGCAAATACTCAGATTTGTATTTTATATTTGAGGCAAACCTGTAAGGTTTGTTATAAATACAATAAGCCGTCACCGTCCTTATTGCAAACTATTGACTAGAAAAAAGGTAGCCGATCTGCTGCGTCCACTATCCATACTAATGGATTGACTGTCACTCTTGTAACGCACTTACAGCTCATAATGAAAGAAATGGTTCCGAAATTCAGAGCTCTACCACCAGACCGACTCGCACCCTCCTTTTTGAGCAATAAATGGTAGTTTCGGTGTTCACCTTGTCGTACTTTCTTATCTTGTCTAGTTTGTTGTTTTTCATTTGTTACGTTGAATACATGAAGATTCGGAGCAGTTGTAAGATGATGCTTGTTTTCGTAATAGAGTATAAAAAACACTCATGAAAAAACCATGATTCTTGTTTTAAACCTCTACAAAGCTATTACACTAATGAAGTCCTGAATTTTTCCTGACATCACTACTCCTACTCCATAGCAACCATTCGATTGAAGTTGCTATGGTAACGCTTTCACGTAATAATAGAAGGTTGTGACCAAATAGCGTTTATGGAAACAATCTGATGTTCTCTATGTGTATGTGATATACTCACTTTTCGTGTGTTCTTCAATTTATGTAATATTTACTTACTGTGACTCACTTCGCCTCATTCGAATGTTTTGATTTCTTTCTATATTATGAAACTCTGCACAATTGAATGGGTATTAGAAAGTGATAATAGCCTGAGACCAAGATGTTTCATTAACCAACTTATTATTATTATCACTGCACCATTATCCGCAACGTTTTCCTTATACAGAAAATGGTACGAGATGAGACTGGATAACATATTTTTACATCTGTCTTCATCATAACAGTCTAGTTGCTAGTGGCTAAATAACATTTGTCACGCAAGATTATACGCCTTTTTTTTTTCGTGTAATTCTTTAGATCTGGGGCAGGCCGGGCGTGGTCTAGAGGTTAGCCTGCTCAAATTATAAATCCGAATATTTAGGGTTTGCTTTCCATTGAAAGAAGTGCCTTATTAACCGCCTATTCTCTACTCTATCAACTTAAAATTAAGGACGGCTTGGAGCAAACAGTTTCTGTAACCCTTTGTATGAAAATTCTAAAATACAAATATAGGTTTGGTGCTGGTACCATACCCATTGCTGCTGACGAAAAACCAATTAAAATCTAGAAAGATAACGCGGTAAAGATTTTAAACTTGGCCCATTCTTCTGGCTGTTAGATTGAATAGATTTCATATACAAAAAGTGTAGGTTGTCATGATAGTTTAGCAATTAAATCTTTTACAAAAGAATGGGATGTAAAAAAATCGTTATCAACAAAAATGTGTATATATAGAAAAGGATTTTGTGTAACAGTATATCAAATGATCGACAAGAAATGTTACGATATGTTAGAGTTTCGACATTAAACACCTACAACAAAATATAAGGTGTAAAAAAAAATTAAAAGATGCACACACAATTTAAAAAGGAATTAATGATAATCCAATAGTTGAAAATGGAACTACGTTAGTTTTACAGCATGAATCTGGCTGACTTAAATATTTTACTAACAGTATAAATACTATTATAATGATTCTCTAAGTTCTCGGTAGCTTTCTTACAATACACAGACCGAAACGTTTCTCTAGCGTTGATGTGCTTTCGTTCCACTGTTTTCCTTCCTGTATATGCAGGAGTCGGCTACAGAAACTCTACGACTACACTCTGTTTGCTGTACCCACCGAGTCTTCGGTCGATACAACACAAAAGCTTGTTTAATTATAGCTTATTCACTCAATCACTTCAGTGACTATAGCAAAAGCTAGAGGAAAGCATGGGATTTTAAAAATGAAGGATAATGAATATCGAAATATATAAGTATTCCAATGTTTGAATAAAATTAATCGAGATTAATAACACATTTTCTCCTTTGAAAGCAAATGTGTAAATATTATTCAAGGAACATTCGTAACTTTTTTCATATTCATTGTGTCAAGTTGAAGTTACGTTCCACAAAATTTAGTTTCGCTGACGTTTATTTTATTTTTTCACCACTTATTGCTCCGTTTTTTTTTATCACGGTGAACGTTCACGCGTTTAGTGGTTCCACAAGTTCTAATTTTAACTTGGTTTGAATGACATACATACGTTTTGAGTAAAACGTTCAATGTCAAACATGGAAGTATCCGTCAAGCTGGTTAAAGTTATATTTAATAAAAGGTCAGTAATACATGTCCACATCTACTCCATGAGATGTAAAACATCGGTATTTGAAGGTTAAACATATACCTTGTACATGCTGACTGTAGACTGGTTTATGGGAGTTAAATATCCAACGTTTACAGTCACAACACCAAGTTAAAGCTCAACAGCAGATTTCTAAGTAATATATAGAAAAAATGTAGTTAATTCTCTAACGGTATCATATATTTTAAAGCTCTTAAGTTATGACATTGTATACTTTTTCTCACTTTGTTACATAAAATTGGCTTCATTAGTTTATAATTTACTGTTTTTTTGGTTCAGTTTTCCACGCTTAGTTCGTTTCTGATAAGAATTTATTAATACCGTGTAAATAAGGCCTGGCAAGGCCAAGTGGTTAAGGCGCTTGACTCACAACCTGAGGATCGCGAGTTTGAATCTCCGTCCCACCAAACATGCTCGCCCTTTAAGCCGTGAGGGCGTTAGAATGTTGAGGTCAATCCCACTATTCGTTAGTAAAAGAGTAGTTCAAGAGTTGGCGGTGGGTGGTGATGACTAGCTTACACTGCTAAATTGGGGAGGCTAGCGCAGATAACCCTCGCGTAGCTTTGAGCGAAATTCAAACCAAACCGTGTAAATAAACAAACAAGCACAGAAACGATTTGTGTGTGTTAAGGTTTTTCCCAAAATATTCTTATGCATATTTCCGGAACATGTACATTCTTATAATGAAAGAACAAGGATCTATAAGATGGGAATTTTTTTAGTTTCTTAATTACATGTATTGTGTTTGTCTTATCACACAAATGTTGAAACCACAAAAATGGCCAGAAAATCTCTTTTAATCTTGTTAATAATTCGCCAATAAACGGGCTTGGTGTAGCTTAACGACTAGCGTTTAAGGCTGCGGATCCAGGGGTCAAAGTTGAGCTGTGATGCCCCGCTGAACACGCCCGCGCTTTTAGCTTTTAGTCTTCATTATTGCAATCCTTTAAGTAGAGATCTGATATCTTTGTAAGGCAGTTGTCGTCCATTTTCACCATCCTTTTAATGTCTGTTTCAGTTGATTAAACTTAATTTTATGATTGGATTTTCCTACGCCTGCATGTAATATTCAAGAGTAGAAAAAAACATCAACCATTAATACCATATTTGTATCTTTATAAGGTTTCACGTTTATATCTACATCTCTAAAATAAAACTCCCCTGATGTGTCAGCGGTAAGTTTATGAACTTCCAATGCTAAAATTCAGGTTTCGATTCCTCGCTGTGGACAAAGTGCAGATGGGCTATTGTGTAGCTTTGCACTAAAAACAACAAAGTGAAAGTGACCTTACACTTAATACAAAATAAATGTATTCATCAAATTAATCCAAGATTCTAAAGTTTCACCTACTCACAAATCAAAATCGGAAAAATTTTAATTTAATCAAAACTTCAATTCATAAAATATGACCATTCTTCTAATGAGTGTTCCAAAATATAACCATTCTTCTAATGAGTGTTCCAAAATATGACCATTCTTCTAATGAGTGTTCCAAAATATGACCATTCTTCTAATGAGTGTTCCAAAATATGCCATTTATTTAAAGTGTGAAGTAGTTAAGTTGCCAAATTAAAAACGTACTATCCGTAATCCATATATGGTAAACAGAAAATGTATAAAAGAAATCAATATTTTTTATGGTAATATCGTTATATGAAGCTTTTTACTAAAGGCCGTGAGAGCAAATGCACGTTTGCTTTTCTTTTCAGTGGAAAATTGAACACTTCGAGGCTTGAAACATGTTTTTCGTGGAATAACAGCAGTTTCTGTCTTATAAAGGTATTTTTTTACTTAAATAATGTAACGATAATTAATGTGTTGGTAACAGAATGAAATTATCACATATTCAGTGTAATAAAGCATACATTTGATATTGCGTAATAGAACGTCCATAAGTTATTACTTCTCAATTATTGTATAATTAAACAATAATCAATTATAATGGTGAATTTGTAAATGTATACTTTTCAGAAAAATTATAGGAATAAAGAAATGTTGGGAAATAGAAACACGAAATATTTTTCTATTTTCAATATTCTTTTTACTTGTATTTTATCATTTATCATATGGCATAATGATAAACATTATGCTGAAGACTGAAGTCGTTTAATAATGAAGCTCTCATTAAAAAAAGGATGTCAATTACGAAAAGAAATTACCCCTACAAGCAAAATTGCACAAATGAACCTATATACTATTCAATACACATGGAAAAAATAAGGCTGTGGCAGTAGACAGGTTCGTTGCCACAAATATACCTTATGATCATTTTATTATGGGTGTTCCATTGAAAATATTTTTTGGGGGGGCCGTCACTTGTAGGCAAAAGTTTCCCCCT